CTATGGCACCCTCAGGCAATTCAGGCCCAAGGTATGACAGATCCCCAACACTGGGACTCATATCATAGACAAATTTAGGAGGAGCCCTGATGCCACTAGTTATATTTTGACCAAGAGTTAATCTGGCACGTCCAATTGCAATTCTTGCTTTTAAAAAGTTCTCCGTTCTTGTTTTTAAGGTCTTTAATTTTGGTAGTAATTTGGTTTCTCAATTCCTTTTTTTTATTTACTTTGCGTCATGGTTTTGTGCACTTGCACAAGCTTTGATGCATTAAGAATGAAGTAGCTGTTTATTTTACATCAGTGACTAAGTCATATCATCCACATATAGGTGATTAACTTCATTCCTGTGGTCTAATGGCAATTTATGAAAAAAGGATTGTTCTACAAAAGCGCTATCAAGACATGGCTTATACAGTAAGTCCCCAACTTACGAACATAATTGGGACCGAGAGGTTGTTTGTAAGTCGATTTGTTTGTATGTCGAAAGTTGGGTCTCAATTACCTTTTTTTCCCATTGTTTAAAAGTTTTGTTTACATTAAGAATACCTGTAATATGTAATGCTTTTAATATTATTTGATGGTGATTCATAAAACTTTAATGTAGAAACAAATCATTCAAAAAGAAAATATATTGTAGTGGGGATGGCAGGCGACTAAGGCGATTGATGTGTAAAGCTGAGTAAGCACGACAGCGCCACGGCGTGGCAGACTCGTGAACTATATTCACGCCCGGGAAATTTGAAGTTTGCTAGCATTTTTCAAACAATTTTTTGGACTTTAGTATATAAAAAAAATTTGTTCGTATGTATGGAATGTTCACAAGTTGAATGTTCTTAAGTAGGGGACTATCTGTATTTGGCTACCCATATTTGGTTTGTAAAATTTTTTGCTTTTGTAAGGAAATTTATATTTGTTACTGCATTTTCAGAACAATACACTTCTGCCCAGTCCATTTTAAAGTCCATCATAGGTAGCAAATGTGGTTAAGTATCCTTTAAATGCAAAGCAATTTCTGGTTTTCAATTTGTGGTGCCTACATTCATTTTAGGTCCAATTATGCCCAGGAATTTTGTAAGTAGTTCCATTATTCTTGAAATCTGTCCTAGAATTGCAGAAACCTTTTATATACGCATATACTGTTGGTGCATTCTGATTATGGATTCCTAAAATTGAAAATTACCACATTTTAATTCTCTTATTGGTTCTAACAACTATAAAACAAGGAAAACTTATTGAAAATCCATGAACACTCCCGTAAAATGTATTTAATCGAAAAGACCGAAGCCCATGTCATCATCTGATTCTTCCGACTCTTCCTTCTTCTCTTCCTTCTTTTCTTCGGCCTTGGGAGCGTCACCACCACCGCCAGGAGCAGCAGAGCCACTGGCAGCGACTGCGCCACCTCCACCACCACCCATGGCAGCCAGGAATGCAGAGCCTGAAAAATTAAATTGTTAAATTCCGCATTTAGATATAGATCAACAACTTTCATTAAATCTTAAATAAACTAATACCAAAGTAGGAATGTTTATATACAGAGGAATGGTTTCCTTGGAATACTTAATTTGTCTAATGTCCAGCAACCAACAAGCAAAATATTTGAGTGCCCTCCACGCATTAGGATATAGGGAACCGAGCGGGTCATTCATTATATCGCATGGCTTTGGTAAATTATTTTGATGTCTGCCCTTCGATTTGACATATGGGCCATAGAGCCTAATATCTCCCTCCAGGCATTTAATCTACCACAACTGCGAATGCAGCAAACCCTGAAAGGGGGTAAGCTACTGACGTTGTTGTGGCAACTTTTCAGCTAAAAATAGAATAGCCAAAGTCAATTCCATCCTTGCTTGTTTTTAATGATTGCTTATTCTCACTGTACAACAAAATGCATGATTTCAAGCCTTCCTTACCTTCAGCAATGACCTTCTCGATATTCTTGTTACCAAACTTCTGGATGACAAGTTCTAACTGCTTATCATCAGCCTCCACACCAACGCTGGCAAGGATGGCTTTCATATTGGCAGCATTGGCAGCATTGCTGCCCATGGCTGCAAGGAGGTACGCACAAACGTGACGCATTCTGAAAATAAAATTAGATATTAGTCCAAATGTAACAAAGGAAACATTCATTTCTTACTCAAGAGATATCCAATTAAACCTATACTACCACCAAAACATTCAATCCTCTTTTGATCAGTCAAAATCTCTTTTGAATCTACATACAAATTAATTCTTGGCTGAAAATAAAAATCAGTTGCACAAAAGCAATCTTGTACCTATATAACTTTGAGCATGCAATTAACTTTAGCCAAGTGAGTGACAACTAGTACCTCGCTTTTAGTTTGGCTCTACGAAAAGAACTTCAAGCTTTAAGATGCCAAAAATATAACTGAAAGACCCAAACACAAGACAGAAACAATGTACTTGTTCTCCACATCAGAGCACATGGCCATGAGAAATATAAAATGTCTGCTTTATAACTATGACATCAACAAGTATATTGTGTCAACTCTCAAAAGCAAAGGTGAAGCAGAGTCTTCAGTAATTCTCCAGAACAGAGACACTAAAGACCATACAATCACCCGATTACTCTACCACAAGATTAACACCACATACTGGTATCAAAGTATGTTGCTGACTTGACTTGTGGCATGTTAGATATATGCCCCCTCACCATAAAATATGCCAAGAATTTCATACCAAAGTAGCAATTAAACTACAAATAGTATTAGAATAATACTCCATTACTTTCGTATCTGCTGCATGAAAGAATTTAACAATACAACATCTTGCATACAAAACAGATAAAAAATCCCATGACAATCTTTAGCATTAATTATTACAAAAAACTTGTCAATATTTCCAATTTACTGGTACTTCTGCAATAGTATTAACCCAATGCCACTAGGCATGGCATGTATATACATGCCATGCCCACTGAGTTTACTTATATCTTATATTGCTGTTACTAATGACTATAACATAGTAATTATATGGTGTCAAAAATAACACCATTACTCATAGCATTAATAAAAACATTTTTCCTGCCAATTCAAGGAAAGGTGAAATCAGGTCAGAGCATAAGGTCTACAAATTGACTCCTTTGTGGCTAAGCACTTGCAGAGCCATCTATGTGCAGAGATGTTTCACAAAAAGTAAAAAATGAGCAAAGCATTTTCCCAGCAGCATTGGGGTAAATCAACAAATTAATGTACCAGTCATTTTTTCTTCATATCCCCTTCCTTAAGTGGATTAATGAAAGCCTTCAGACCATGTTCAAGGTTTCTAATAACTTAATTTCAAAATTAATATATACTGAGTTGTCAATTATTCTCATTTCTTTCAATCTGAATAAATTAATACATAAATTTATCATCTGAGTAATCCATTTCCAATAAAAGTAAATGTGAAATAGTAAATCATAGCTTTTTGTACCATAGCTAAAAGCAATCTTGAGAATTACCACCCAAAATAGATTCTAGATTTTCCGGTCTAAGTGACTGAATATAAAGAGGGACACCATGCATGAAACTAGATTAATGGAGTTTCAATAAGGTTCCAAAAACTGACAACACTGTCCATGTGTAAATATAAAATTAAAGATATACATCAGTCATATCAAACGTGTTGCAGGCCAATATCACTTTGAAGTAAGACACTGTTCTGAAGAGAGATTCACTTAGTATTTCTGACAGATATAATCGAAACCGGTCAAATACATCTCTTACATTGTGAAGATATTCATTCTCATTCATACCTTTTCAACATAGATTCACTTAGGTTTAGTCCCCTTTTCTTGAACTGGCTTGCCTTCATGTCTGATTATAGCTGACAACAGACATGGGCCTAGAAGGCTAAATTGTATATTAATCCTATCTATAACTGATTAGTCTCAGCACTATGCATTAAGTCAGTTTTGGGTTCATACCCTTAAAATTTCCCAACCATCAATGTAACCCAACCAAAGGGAGGGTAAATTAGATTACTTTATAGAATCCTTGAAATAATACACAAGTAATATCCACTCCAGAATCTTTTGCACAAGAATGAAAATATTGAAAATATCAGATAAATGGGAGGTTTATGCTTTCATTTCTTTCATAAACAGTGTTCATGGAAAACCCTAAATACTGTTAACCCCTTGCCGCCGGGTGACGGCGATACGCGTGTAAACAAATCGCTCGAAAGGTGGCGTGCGGCCAAACCAGCCGGCGGCGCGCCAAAGCGCGGCGAGCCAGTGATTCGGGCTGACGCCCCGTACTCCGGCGCTCAAAGTCGGCGCGCTGCCTTTGTTTGCCAGAGCGTAGAGTTTTATTTTCCTTTAGTACACCCGGCGTCATTGGGTTAATTTACAATACTACTTAGTTGACCAATTTACCCAAATCTTCTATACAAAATATATCCTGCTTTCCCAGAAAACCCTTAAACTTATTGACTGGAATAACAGTAACAGCAATCCTATAAGAGGCAGACCCTCCCTCGGCAGTTGTGCAAGCCAAGTCACGGCAACATGTATTGTGGAATAAATTGTGACGGAGTTGGAGACTTAGGGACTGTCTCTGGTGAGTACATCCATACATGTAAAGAATTCCCACATTTACAGTGGATCTACATACCAGAAATACATTTTAAAGCCATACTACTGTTACTGCAAGGGAATACAAATTAAAAATTGCTGGGAAGGGTGGTGCTACATTAACTAGAGCAAAAGAGGATATATTTATGTGAAATTTGCAATGGTGGGGGACCACACCACATGAACCTGGTCTCCACTTTGGGTAAGTTATCAAACTTACTACACACACCAATCACATATCTGGTGCCATGTGATTGATTAAAAATATTTTGTGCAATCTATATATATATTTTGTGACCGACAAATCACATAAGTTTTACAGTAAAGGGTTTAAAATGTAGTGCAAGAAACTAACATTAGCGTAGAGAAATTAAAAATTCCCACGAGAATCTTCACAACCCCCATGACCAATAAATAGAAGGCACATCACTTTGCCCAATATAGAAATTTAAGTATCGTACATACTTGACATCTATCAACTTGCACTATTGCTGCCATCTCTTTTTAGGCTAGACCGCACACTCCTGCAACTTTTAGTAAGTCTTTATGTATATAACCATGAAAGGAAGATGTAATATTACTAAAAATAGTGCTTTGTTTACAAAATGGTAGGAGAGGATTTAAGTTGGCGTGCTCTCACTTCTTTATCAATAGTATAAAACTACAAACAAGATCAGTGTCTTGGATTTTTTACTGGTCATTTCCATATACTGTTTGTCTTAAGTGGCAGCTGGTTGATATTTAACCTAATGTTTTCACTGCTTATAACTACTTGCATGTTTTAATCTAAAATATACTGCAAAATGTAGTCATTAAAAAGTATTGGTAACCATTCAGAATAGCTTTGCATAACTGATCACAACAAAAGGGGCATCAATGTATTCCTCTGATCCTCTACTGCCTTTATATCTATCCTGTCGTGAATGTGTGGAGGATTTAGGTCTTCCACAGGAGGGGGGGGATGTAAAGGGCAGACCCATTAACAATAGATAATACAGTAACTTGTTCAGTGCATATTATTATAGTGACATACTGCATGGCTATTACTCGTATTTAACCCTGCAATTTCCCTGGTACCTTTTATGCCCACCTGTTATTGGGGCCAAGAGAATGGGGTGGGGTGGGGTGGGGGGTCTATGGCATAATTTTGATATACTGGGATAGAGTGAGAGGAATCCAATACAAAAATCATTAAGACTGGTTATGAGAAGGTATTCTTTTCATTTCACAAAGCCATCCAATCTTGCATTTATTTTTCCTTCTTTCCATTATCAACACTAAATGACAAATGAAAGTATTGGTCATATTTACGAAGTGACTGCACCCGACGCCTGCCATTCCTGGGAAATCCAAACATTGCTGTGTGACCCAAAAACCCTCCTAACCAAGGGCTTCACCCCGAGAGCCTCAACCGAGAAATCAGGGAAATGCTGTGATCAGACAACCACCTGATCACCAGGGACTTGCTCTCTGCATAGCATTTGCTGTGACCATTTTTTTTATTTTTCTGACATTATCTACTTACGCAGATTATATTAGTGGGTGATTATTATAGTGCAATTACATTTCCTGTAAAAGTATACCAAACCAAAATACGGGCTTTGTTACAGAGTGACGCATCCTCCAAAGACCAGGTTACAAAACCAGGGTATCATGCTAGCCCAAGTTCCAACCTTTCCCACCTTCTATTTATTTACTAGTCAGGGAGCAAGTCCTCCATATATTCCTCCTTTATTAGCACTGTGCCAACCCAGAAACTAGACATTAAGAACTCAGACTAAGTCCACAATGCCCTCACGCAGCCAGGGCATTGATATGCAGCACATTGTCATTTCATAGTAAATACAATGCCAGAGCAGCTGTACCTGTTTATTACTCAAAACCCATAATATTACACACTGCAGAACCGTATTATCAACTTGCAAAAGTAATACCACAAGAAAAGTTTAAGGACACCAAGAGTGACGCGGTATGACAGCAGGAAACGGACATTTTATGAAGCATAAGAAAGTAATAAACTACACAGTAGCTGCAGCAACCTCATATTTACCGTAAAATGAAGAAAATACATAAAACAGCTCAGAGAAAGTCCACAACACCCTAACAGAGTCAGAGTTCTTAATGTCGGGGTTTTTATAAGTTGGCAAGAAGTGCTGATAAGGGGGAAAGGGGGGGTACAGGGGTCTTTCCTCCCTGTCTAGGGAATAAAGAGTGGGTAGGAAAGTTTAGGTTTGGATTTTGGGTTTGCAGGATACTCTGGTTCCGAGAGTGTCGCTCTCAGGAAAAACTCTTTACCGAAATAGCAAATTGCAGATGTTGATAACTGCTGTCATCCGGAGATCAGTGAACTCTACATATATGAAATAGATTATTTTCCATGAAAGAAACACTAGCTGCATAAGCACATCAAACTATAAACCCCCCCAAAAAGGGACTTCAATTTAACTCAAGAAAATAATGAAAATACAAAAGTTCCTTCAGGTACGAAGAAACACACGCAGGATTTTCGCCTACAATCCTAATTCTCTTAATACTACGTCATTCCCCCCTTTAACACTTCTAGCCGCCTTCTCCGTCCCGAATAAGAGGAATTTCCACTAAAATCTCCCTACAACCGAGTCTCTGCTTCCTTGGCAAACGAGAGGCATTGTCGACACCTTTTTTCTCCGCTTATTTTCACACCAGAACCAAACCACTTCGGATCTCTAACCTTCCTCGTCCCTTCCTCTAAACACACCCAACACCGCGTCGAAGAGATATTTAGGATATAAGCCAGAAAAGCGCGTTTAATTCTTACTTGAAATCTGTCCAGCGGTGGCACGTGCAGACTCGGCGTTCGCGAGTGCTAGAAGGCCGACTCTCGTGTTTACTCTTACGTTGCTTCCGCGTCGGCCAATCAGAACGCGGGGTAGGCGACCGCAAGCACAACTCTAGTTCTGATTGGTTGTTTACGTGGGATAGGGTAGGAGACGATTTTTTTGGGTTGTTTTAAGGGATCACAAAATGAGTTTTTAAACTTTTGAGATGAGATATGTATTGAGGATTCTTGTTTTAAAATCTCTAGGGTGTTCATATAGTTCATAATATTTTTTTGTATGGAAAGCTTCACTTCTGATGCATATTAAATTAATTGTTGACCAATGTTTAGCCTCACATTCTACCGCCAAGTTGTCATCACTTTATGGATTATACAACAATATTTTCAACTTCGCTCCCACACCTATTTAAAATAATGTACCTTAATATTCAATTGACTTTAGTATCTATCACTTTAAAATAAGCTATGTATAGTTTCTATTTTCGTTAATAAAAGCCATAGCAGATGAGATATTTATCATCATTCACAAGGATATTGTAAAAAGTAACTGTAGCCGTCTTTTTATACATGTTTTATGATCTCATATTTCAATTTGTTATATTTCTAAGATTAATGAAAAAGGAATAATTGCTCTATATCCTCAACAAATCACAACCCAGACGCTTCCTCATATTCAGAAAGTAAAATTTTCAACCAATCACAGCATAGATTTGTTCTTGAAATGGGAAATCCTCGTCCTGGCCAATCACAGAAACGATTCATTCTTAAAGTCATAGAGGCGAACTTTTAACCAATCAGCGACTAGGATTTCTGCATGGACCAATCAAGGCGCAGAGTTGTATACTCACTTTAGCATTGTGTTTGTTTACAACTTTGCGATGTCGGAATATGCGAAAGTAAAGGTCGGGAAATTGAAGCTCAAAGGGGAGAAGAGGTAAAGAAAACATTTATTATTTATTACTTTTACTGTAGTTCAGTGGTTCCCAAGCATTTTATACTTGCAGAGAAACAGTAATTATCTTTCTTTATTTACATAACTGCAATACAATAACCCTTGAAGACATGGCTTCAAAGTATGTTCTTGATATGACCACTTGAGAATATTTTTGATGACATTCTTTTTCCTTAAGGCTGCTTGGTCCTCCTGCTTAACCTTTGTGATCCCCATGGGAGTCATCACCCGCCAGCTAGGAACAGCTACTATAATGGGTGTCTGCACAACTGAACTGTTCAAAATCATATCAAGTTGATTAATTTCTATATACTTTAAATCAGGATATTTGAGATTCATGCCTTTCCTTTGGGTCCATTTGCATTTTACTTAATATGAATCTGAACCTTATTCTCTGAAACAAATGCCATACAAAGTACAAGTGAAGTAATCTGGCAGTCGTGGGATATTCCAGTGTTCCCTGCCTAATTCTTCCTAGATTTATAAAAAAAGCCAAACCCTCAGATTTCTTGTCTTGTGTGTCATCTTATCAGATATTTTTAGGTTACATCTTGCATAATTTGGCATTATACCAGAAATGTGTGAAAGGCTAATCTTCAAGTGAGTATAATCCAGTGGAAGAGAACTACTATGTGTTGTCACCATGTAATGATATTCTTATTAATTCTCTGGTTAGGAAATTTTCTTTTATGGAATGGTACAAACTACATTATTAACAAACAAATAACAAGCCAGACTGTATCAGATATTTGTTACAAGTCAGGCAGAGTTGCAAACTGCACTCCTTGCTTGCTGCCCACAGAAATTATTTTGGTATTTTTCAACAGTCGCAAAAAGCACAAGTCCAAGAAAAGAAAAGCAGAGGAGGGTGACGGGGGAAGCAGCGGCACCAGCGCTCATGAATTGGACAAGGCTGATCATGGAGGCTGGTGGTCCATCACAGCTCTTCATCAGGTAATGGCTTAGGGTTATTTCAGTATGTTGGATTATTTGCTGGTGATGGTTTAATTATCATTGCATTGTGGTAATTAACAAGCTTTTTATTTGTCATCTGCCAGTTCAGGTCACATCATCATGATGTTCATTTAATGTTTCTGGACTATGAAAGATCTTTCATGAGAAATGGGAAAATTTTATATTTAAAAATTTTGTCTTGTACTGCTTCAAAAATTAAATTTAACACTAATTTTCTTCTTTTTTTTCAAAATCATCTCTGATCTTCCAACAGATCAGTGGAAGTGTAGCTGTACAGCTTGGTGGTTCTCCAATATATGTAAGAGCTTTAGACAATGGTTTATTCACAGCTGGGGCTCCACATGACCAAGGTAACATTATATGGGATTATTTAGAAAATTTTATGTGCTAAAATTTTTCAAAAGATTGTGTTTTATTGTATGTCATCCTCATAAGAAGACTTTTTTTTAACTGTCCAACTTATCAACTTTAAAAGACATGATTCTACATCAAACCCAACCAAACTTACAGGCGATGGACCATCCCCCGAAGAAGTGCTGACAGCAGTACCAGCAGGAGATGACCGAATAGCCTTCAAATCCGGATACAATAAGTATCTTGGTGTTGATGGAGCTGGACGTGTAGTGGGGCGGGCAGATGCCATTGGCCCTCGGGAAATGTGGCAGCCTGTCTTCCAGGTTGGTTTCCTTGTGTGAATAAGGAGGCAGTAGGTAGAGATGTTTTTGTTCAGTATTTAGAGGTGTAAGTGAAGAGTTATATGCTGTGGTAGTATTATAAAACCAGATATGTTTAACCCCTTAAAGATGGTGTTCCAGCAGTGTCATCACAGTGCCAAGCCACATTTGGCAATCAAACTTTGATCTCTCATTATATGCAGTTTTTGTCATTGTGGTTTGTAGAGCTCAGAATTACCCATCAAAGTCTTTTGCTGGAATGTCACAAAATAATTGAACAGTGGAGCATCAAACTTCAAATATCTTACGGCTTCTGTGTGTGGGGTGGGGGTGCAGCTGGAAGAATCTTACTTACAAGTACTATAATTACTTCCACATAATCCTTTTCTCCTACTGACTTGAGGGAGAGAGAGAGAGAGAGAGAGAGAGAGAGAGAGAGAGAGAGAGAGAGAGAGAGAGAGAGAGAGAGAGAGAGAGAGAGAGAGAGAGAGAGAGAGGAAAAAAATGGGCTGCCAGTTTGGAGAAGCTATGTTCTATTGTTGCTGCTCATAATTCTGTCTTTTCTTCAAAAAGCCACCATTTTGGATGGTTGGACTCCAGAGATAAACGCTAAAATTTGAGTCATTAAGAAGGTTTCCCCAACAGCCAAATTATTTGGAAAGAGCATCCCCTTTTAAAAATTAGTGGTCTGCTTTCTTACCTCTATTTCAGTGTAAGAAGACTTGTATATTTTGTAATGTTTAGCAGTCCTTTTTCCAACTTCATATCCTATCCCTATTTAGTACTTCCTTCTAACCTACTGGGCCTTCTCTTGTGAGTCGGGGTTGCTTCTCCTATCTAATCTTGCCTCTCTGCTTCTCTGCCTCTCCAAGCCATCAGACATTTCTGCATCAAACATCCTATCCCCTTCCCCCTTCTTCTAACATTTCTCCTGGTCACTTCAATCACCTCCCACTGTGGCTGAGCTACTTATGATGTTTGTTTTTCAGTATGTATTTTATTGCATTATTTGTGGTTTATTTACATGTTTTTGCAAGTTTTTTTTCAACTTTGATGTTCTTTAAAATGAGGTTGGGGATAAAGCAGTGGCATCGTGAGGGTTGTTAGAGCTGGGGCAAGACAGGTAATAGCTCCCCTGACCCTTCTACTAATACACTGTTTTAATTAAATCATAAAGTGCTGATGCTTTAAAATCTGATTAAAAGTTACTGGTTACTAGTTTTAATTTATACATTTTTTTCAATAATAGTATTGAAATTTACTGTGATTCTGTCAACTGACAGTTTTGTCAAGCAACATTTATTTGCCACTTGTTGAAAACTTTGTAGGATGTTTTTACTTTAGGAAATTATGTTTCTGAAAGGACACACACTAATATTGATATATTATTATTACTTTTTTCTTTCTTTAGAAATTTTATACCCAGGGCAATCAGTCTTGTGGCCCCACACATACTATATTTCTGATAGAAAGTGCTTAGTGACCCTTCCTTCAAGTGGTGCCTAGGGCACATGCCATATTTGCATCCCTTAGATATGCCACTGGTATAAAGTGCAACACTAAAAGGTTGATCAGAACCATAATATTCCTAATGATACCATATGGAATGTATAACCTTTGCAAACATGAGGAAATGATAATGACTAGCTAATGTATGTTTATGCAGAATGGTCTTGGTAGTTTCATAAGGACACCAAATTTCTTCTCATATATGAGAAGAAAGTAATTATATCTTTTAGTAAACAACATACCAGGTCATAAATGTAAAATAATATTACCTTTTTGAAATGAATACAGCCTGTTCTCTGTAGTTACTTTATGTTGGAGACCAACCTCACACAGATTGTGCTTCTTGTGTTGCTCTGTCAAGCATCTTTCTCTTCCATTTTTGTCATGATGCAATATGTTTCAGTAAGGGAGTAAAGTAAGCTGTCTTGTTAGAGTCTTTGTCACATGGACAGGTGCTAAATTTTTTTCATCCAGGTGCTATAACAAGTGGGACTGGCAGACAACGTGTAGCAGAATAACCAGTCATTCTCCATCACTGTTTTTTACAAGAAAATAAGCAACGTAATCTGTGTCTATGTGTGAATGCCATCAGTCTTAACATACCTTGACAGTAGTAGGCATGGCAGTGTTAGTGCAAGTGACTGATAACAATCTCTTCCATGTCTAACTTAGTATTACACTAGCTTAGCCATCTAACATTGTCCTTCTGTCACTTTATTCTTGATGTCAAAATATGCAGTGGTAGCTTAACCAAAATAAGCATACAGTTTATTTTGTAGTTATATAATGGGGAGGAGGGAGTTCTGGTCATATTGCCCCCTCAGCTTCATAAAGATCTCCTGCAACTCTGTCTCTGCAGGTTGATATGGTCAGGAAGTGTGTTCTTTGATGATTGTTGATAAGCTGATATGTATTGCAGGACACTTTTACTCCTCTTTAACCCAATGCTGACAGGCATGATGTGTATGTATGTGCTATGCCCACTGAGTT